CAAAGTAACAATATTAATTAATATAAAAAACAAAAAAATCAATCACTTTAGTGATTACATAATCATTATATATTTAAAGTATTAGATAATTCTTTTGTTTTTCATTTAGTATCTAACTGACCATAAATAAAACTTTCAATTATCCATAATTGTGTTTACTGTGTTATTATTTATTTTTTGCCTTAGGCATTTGTACAGTCAGTCAATCAGTCAGACAGTCAGCTACAATATAGGATCCGACACATTTATGTATCGGTTCAAGTTACCATGTCCATGTACAATAGGTAGTAACTAATTACAATTTTTTTTTTGTTTCTTTCTAAATCAAATTTTCTTCTTTTTTTTTTCCACTTGAATTCAATACATAATGTAAATGTAATAAGAATTATGTAATCTGTTTGATATGACAAATTAAAACAGATGTGAAGAGCCAATTCATGGTTCTTCTTGTTGTTGTTGTTGTTGTTGTTGTTGTCGTCGTCGTCCATTTCTGTATTTCGTTGAAATCTTCTTCAATAGATCCTTAATTGACCAGATGTTTTAATAGTAGTATAATTATTCTTTATTAAGTTTCAATATTTTTTTTTCTAATATAGCATATTAGATAGTAGTTAGTTGGATATAACGAGACACGTGTCTTACATTTTTATATATATCACAACTATATTCGAATGACAGACGTTAACCATGGACACGCTTATCAATACATAATCCGTATCTCTCTCTCTCTCTCTCTAGATATATATATATATATATGTACCATAGAATTTGTTCAGTATAAAGGCTTGTCCTTAACTATCCTTCATATTAGCAAAGAATAAGAGATAAGGGTGACATAAACCACATTTACACACTTCTCTTCATATTCTCCTCATTTTTTTTCCTACTAAAGAATAATAATAATTAGATAATCTGTCAATGAAACATAAATAAAATGTTTCTTTAGTTGAATGAATAGTCAAATGACATTGTAAGGAGGTAGTAATGATGATGATGATGATGGGGTGGGGGAGGGGAGGGGATGGGGATTACAACAACAACAACAAAAAAATGGAGAAATAGGGTAACGGAAGTTAATATTATGTTCTTGTTTGTTCTAACTGACCGATTTTAAATGAAATGGTTTTACTGTTTTTCATATTTAAATTCGGAATGATTGAAACCTCCTCAATTATGTTTCAGATATTAGAAGGTTAGTTAGTATACGACTTTTTTTTTTATAAAAAAAAAATTGAGTAATCGAATGGACAAGGAAATACTATGTGATTATGTATCTATGTCAGTGTGTGTGTGTGTGTGTGTGGGTGGGTGCGGATGTAAGTATGGGTATGGGTATGGGTATGGGTATGTATGACGAGATATAAGAGGATATACCCTAGTAAATCATATCCGTTAAAAATGAGAAATCAAGTTGAAAATACTCAAAACAATTTTTAATGTCAAGGCTTTTTTTTTTTTTAAAAAAAAAATAGGGATAGGGGTGATATCCAATATGAAATTAATATTGAAAATAACTGTGAAAATGTCTCGATTTAATCACTAAGCGATAAACAATGTGTCTTATTTATCGTTTAGCAGCTATTAATCTAAATAACTTAATATTGTTTGGATCATTTATACATGAAGTAACATGAAATAGTCAAGAGAAAAATCTAATTCTTTATAGATTTCTATAGGTCGTTCTTAGTGTAGATTCAATCCTATTGACCAAGTCGAAATGTACCAACTAGTCTAGGTAATATGATAATGCGTGCATTATATTGAGATAAGATGATGATTGAAGGTAGTCAACAGGAAAACCTGGACCTGAGTTTCGTGCTACTTGGCACTCGTCAGCAAGGTGTACCTGTGATCTTGAGGGAACTAATGCTGTATCACTTAGCTTCATAATCAGAGACGTTACCACTGAGCTATCCGAGCTGCGATCGACCTCCTGTAGGATTGAGATGTAATCACAATTGATTAATCACCGGATGGTGATCAATATCATGTATGTCAGATCATTCTTAGTGAAAATGAGATCCTATCGATCAAGTTACAATGTGGCCGCTAGTCTAGGTGACTTGATATTGGGCGCATTATGTTGAACTTAGATGGTGGTTAGAGGTAGTCAACAGGAAACCCTGAACCCGGGTTTCGTGCTATTTAGCACTCATCATAAAGATGTACTTGTAATCTTGAGGGAACTGATGCCCCCTACCGGATTCGTAACAATACAGATAACTTAGTTAAAGCATACACTACTATAATTTATTCAAGGTGACCGTAACATTTAAGAAAAAATAATGCTTTCACTAGGCCCTTCTCTCTCATACACATCAACAAATGCAGGTGAAGACAACTAGTATAGCATCAGTCACCGCATAAGTAGGCTTTAACATGCGCAGAGGAAAAAGCAAGATTCTCAAATACATCACAAAGAACACCAAACTAATCACACTTGATGGAGAAACTCTTGAAGAGATGGAAACATTCACATATCTGGGTGGCGTCATCGATGAACGGGGAGAATTTCATACCGATGTAAGTGGGAGGATTGGCAAAACAAACAGAGCATCCCTACAACATTCTAACAACATATGCACCTCAATACAACTGTCTATCAACCAATATCAAAGTCACAATCTTCAATACAAACGTCAAGACAGTTAGTTCTATAGTACGGAGCTGAAATTTGGAAAACTACTACAACCATCATCAAATTGGTACAAGAATTTATAAATAATTGTCTACGTAAGATACTCAATATCTGTTGACCGGATACCATCAGCAACAGCCTACTATGGCAGAGGACAAACAAGGTTCCAGATGAAGAGGAAATTAGGAAAAGATGTTGGAAGTGGATAGAACATACATTACAGAAATCACTAAGTCGCATCACCAGGCAATCAATGACTTGGAATACTAAAGGGAAACGAAAAAGAGGAAGGCTGAAGAACACATTTTGTTGAGAATTGTAAGTAGATATAAGAAGGACGAATGGCAACTGGAAAGAACCGGAAATTATTGCTCAGGACAGGGTTGAATAGAAAATGCTGGTAAGTAAGTAAGTAAGTAAGTAAGTAAGTAAGTAAGTAAGTAAGTAAGTAAGTGAGTGAGTGAGTGAGTAAGTAAGTAAGTAAGTAAGTAAGTGAGTGAGTGAGTAAGTAAGTAAGTAAGTAAGTAAGTAAGTAAGTAAGTAAGCTAAATTTGCTCTCGTGAGATTTCTTATCTAATAACACATTCCAATATTATGTAATACTTCATTGCACATAATCGATACTATAAAAGTACATTCAAATATAATCCGAACATGAAAGTATCTTTTAAACTGACTAGTTGTAAAATGTTAATTATTGGTTAGGAATTAGGATTGTTTTTCTATTATCAGAACGTAAATTATGGATATTTTTGAATAGTATTGAGATCATGAATTAATTCAAACTAACCAACTATTGAAAACTAGAAAGTATTGTACAGTTATATTAATCTAGTATAGGATGACTCACTAGTATCCATTCAGGATATCATCACCGGGTATCGAACCAAGGACTACTACCATTGTGAAAGAGAACAAAATTGAAGATAATCGAATATATTTAAATAAAAAAGTATAGAATATCTTAGTAAAATATGAGAATCATACAGTAAATACTTTATTTACAAAATGTTAATCAATCGTCTCAGACTTCATTGTTCTTTCATTTCCACACTAATTATTCTTTGTTTAGGTTGTCTGCTCTTTAATCTTCTTAACCTTCTACAGCCAAAAATTTCACTTTCGATTGATAATACATACTACTTCTATATGTCGATATCAGTAGAACATAACACATTACTACTACATCATTTATTCCATAAGTTTAATCGACTTGTGACTTAAGACAAAATCGAGGTATTACATTACAGTCTTTAACATTAATGGTAAGATTCAAATAAACAAAATAAAATGAATTTAAACTTCACCCAATTGTACAAGTAAGTGGCTAAGTGGAATGAAGTGAACGCTACTGGGTTCGAGGCCTGGTTAGGATGAACATCAACAATTTAATGCAAGTACATTCACCTGACGAGTCTTAAAATGGGACAAAACGTACGATAAACTGGATTCCACTACTATTCACTATCTATCTTTGCTTATAATTACACAACATGTTCAATCTAAACATTATCATCATCATCATCATCATCCAAAGCATCATCATCATCATCATCCAAAGCATCATCATCATCATCCAAAGCATCATCATCATCAAACAACAGTCCTATACATCAATAGAATTATTCATATAATACTTAAGTATGTTTCCAATTTAAAAGTCACTTATAACACCAAAGAATAAAAAATCAGTCTATTATAAGACTTATTACTTCTTATTCATCTATTCGATTATTATTATTTTTTCTTTTCTTCTTTTTCGATTCTCATTTCTATACTCACATTCACAGTTATACCATAGTAACAAATCAATACATACAAGAATTTTCAATGATCATCATCATCATCATCCAAAGCATCATCATCATCATCATTATCCAAAGCATCATCATCATCATCCAAAGCATCATCATCATCATCATCATCATCATCATCCAAAGCATCATCATCATCATCCAAAACATCATCATCATCATCATTCAAAGCATCATCATCATCATCATCCAAAGCATCATCATCATCATCCGAAGCATCGTCATCATCATCATCATCATCCAAGGCATCATCATCATCATTCAAAGCATCATCATCATCATCCAAAGCATCATCATCATCATCCAAAGCATCATCATCATCATCATTCAAAGCATCATCATCATCATCATCCAAAGCATCATCATCATCATCCAAAGCATCATCGTCATCATCATCATCATCCAAGGCATCATCATCATCATCGAAAGCATCATCATCATCATCATCCAAAGCATCATCATCATCATCATCATCCAAAGCATCATCATCATCATCATCATCACCCAAAGCATCATCATCATCATCCAAAGCATCATCATCATCATCATCATCCAAAGCATCATCATCATCAAACAACAGTCCTATACATCAATAGAATTATTCATATAATACTTAAGTATGTTTCCAATTTAAAAGTCACTTATAACACCAAAGAATAAAAAATCAGTCTATTATAAGACTTATTACTTCTTATTCATCTATTCGATTATTATTATTTTTTCTTTTCTTCTTTTTCGATTCTCATTTCTATACTCACATTCACAGTTATACCATAGTAACAAATCAATACATACAAGAATTTTCAATGATCATCATCATCATCATCCAAAGCATCATCATCATCATCATTATCCAAAGCATCATCATCATCATCCAAAGCATCATCATCATCATCATCATCATCCAAAGCATCATCATCATCATCCAAAACATCATCATCATCATCATTCAAAGCATCATCATCATCATCATCCAAAGCATCATCATCATCATCCGAAGCATCGTCATCATCATCATCATCATCCAAGGCATCATCATCATCATTCAAAGCATCATCATCATCATCCAAAGCATCATCATCATCATCCAAAGCATCATCATCATCATCATTCAAAGCATCATCATCATCATCATCCAAAGCATCATCATCATCATCCAAAGCATCATCGTCATCATCATCATCATCCAAGGCATCATCATCATCATCGAAAGCATCATCATCATCATCATCCAAAGCATCATCATCATCATCATCATCCAAAGCATCATCATCATCATCATCACCCAAAGCATCATCATCATCATCCAAAGCATCATCATCATCATCATCATCCAAAGCATCATCATCATCATCATCATCCAAAGCATCATCATCATCATCATCATCCAAAGCATCATCATCATCATCATCATCATCATCCAAAGCATCATCATCATCATCATCCAAAGCATCATCATCATCATCATCATCACCCAAAGCATCATCATCATCATCCAAAGCATCATCATCATCATCATCATCCAAAGCATCATCATCATCAAACAACAGTCCTATACATCAATAGAATTATTCATATAATACTTAAGTATGTTTCCAATTTAAAAGTCACTTATAACACCAAAGAATAAAAAATCAGTCTATTATAAGACTTATTACTTCTTATTCATCTATTCGATTATTATTATTTTTTCTTTTCTTCTTTTTCGATTCTCATTTCTATACTCACATTCACAGTTATACCATAGTAACAAATCAATACATACAAGACTTTTCAATGATGATCATCATCATCATCCAAAGCATCATCATCATCATCATTATCCAAAGCATCATCATCATCATCCAAAGCATCATCATCATCATCATCATCATCATCATCATCCAAAGCATCATCATCATCATCCAAAGCATCATCATCATCATCATTCAAAGCATCATCATCATCATCATCCAAAGCATCATCATCATCATCCGAAGCATCGTCATCATCATCATCATCATCATCCAAGGCATCATCATCATCATTCAAAGCATCATCATCATCATCCAAAGCATCATCATCATCATCCAAAGCATCATCATCATCATCATTCAAAGCATCATCATCATCATCATCCAAGGCATCATCATCATCATTCAAAGCATCATCATCATCATCCAAAGCATCATCATCATCATCCAAAGCATCATCATCATCATCATTCAAAGCATCATCATCATCATCCAAAGCATCATCGTCATCATCATCATCATCCAAGGCATCATCATCATCATTCAAAGCATCATCATCATCATCCAAAGCATCATCATCATCATCATCATTATCCAAAGCATCATCATCATCATCATCATCCAAAGCATCATCATCATCATCCAAAGCATCATCATCATCATCCAAAGCATCATCATCATCATCCAAAGCATCATCATCATCATCCAAAGCATCATCATCATCATCATTCAAAGCATCATCATCATCATCATCCAAAGCATCATCATCATCATCATCCAAAGCATCATCATCATCATCCAAAGCATCATCATCATCATCCAAAGCATCATCATCATCATCATCATCCAAAGCATCATCATCATCATCCAAAGCATCATCATCATCATCATCCAAAACATCATCATCATCATCATTCAAAGCATCATCATCATCATCATCCAAAGCATCATCATCATCATCATCCAAAGCATCATCATCATCATCATTCAAAGCATCATCATCCAAAGCATCATCATCATCATCATTCAAAGCATCATCATCATCATCATCCAAAGCATCATCATCATCATCCAAAGCATCATCATCATCATCATCATCATCCAAAGCATCATCATCATCCAAAGCATCATCATCATCATCCAAAGCATCATCATCATCATCATCCAAAGCATCATCATCATCATTCAAAGCATCATCATCATCATCCAAGGCATCATCATCATCATTCAAAGCATCATCATCATCATCCAAAGCATCATCATCATCATCCAAAGCATCATCATCATCATCATTCAAAGCATCATCATCATCATCATCCAAAGCATCATCGTCATCATCATCATCATCCAAGGCATCATCATCATCATTCAAAGCATCATCATCATCATCCAAAGCATCATCATCATCATCATCATCATTATCCAAAGCATCATCATCATCATCATCATCCAAAGCATCATCATCATCATCCAAAGCATCATCATCATCATCCAAAGCATCATCATCATCATCCAAAGCATCATCATCATCATCCAAAGCATCATCATCATCAAACAACAGTCCTATACATCAATAGAATTATTCATATAATACTTAAGTATGTTTCCAATTTAAAAGTCACTTATAACACCAAAGAATAAAAAATCAGTCTATTATAAGACTTATTACTTCTTATTCATCTATTCGATTATTATTATTTTTTCTTTTCTTCTTTTTCGATTCTCATTTCTATACTCACATTCACAGTTATACCATAGTAACAAATCAATACATACAAGACTTTTCAATGATCATCATCATCATCATCCAAAGCATCATCATCATCATCATTATCCAAAGCATCATCATCATCATCCAAAGCATCATCATCATCATCATCATCATCATCCAAAGCATCATCATCATCATCCAAAGCATCATCATCATCATCATTCAAAGCATCATCATCATCATCATCCAAAGCATCATCATCATCATCCGAAGCATCGTCATCATCATCATCATCATCATCCAAAGCATCATCATCATCATCCAAAGCATCATCATCATCATCCAAAGCATCATCATCATCAAACGACAGTCCTATACATCAATAGAATTATTCATATAATACTTAAGTATGTTTCCAATTTAAAAGTCACTTATAACACCAACGAATAAAAAAACAGTCTATTATAAGACTTATTACTTCTTATTCATCTATTCGATTATTATTATTTTTTCTTTTCTTCTTTTTCGATTCTCATTTCTATACTCACATTCACAGTTATACCATAGTAACAAATCAATACATACAAGACTTTTCAATGATCATCATCATCATCATCATCATCATCATCCAAAGCATCATCATCATCATCATCCAAAGCATCATCATCATCATCCAAAGCATCATCATCATCATCCAAAGCATCATCATCATCATCATCATCACCCAAAGCATCATCATCATCATCATCCAAAGCATCATCATCATCATCATCATCGAAAGCATCATCATCATCATCATCACCCAAAGCATCATCATCATCATCCAAAGCATCATCATCATCATCATCCAAAGCATCATCATCATCATCATCATCCAAAGCATCATCATCATCATCACCCAAAGCATCATCATCATCATCATCCAAAGCATCATCATCATCAAACGACAGTCCTATACATCAATAGAATTATTCATATAATACTTAAGTATGTTTCCAATTTAAAAGTCACTTATAACACCAACGAATAAAAAAACAGTCTATTATAAGACTTATTACTTCTTATTCATCTATTCGATTATTATTATTTTTTCTTTTCTTCTTTTTCGATTCTCATTTCTATACTCACATTCACAGTTATACCATAGTAACAAATCAATACATACAAGACTTTTCAATGATCATCATCATCCAAAGCATCATCATCATCATCATCATCCAAAGCATCATCATCATCATCCAAAGCATCATCCAAAGCATCATCATCCAAAGCATCATCATCATCATCCAAAGCATCATCATCATCATCATTCAAAGCATCATCATCATCATCCAAAGCATCATCGTCATCATCATCATCATCCAAGGCATCATCATCATCATTCAAAGCATCATCATCATCATCCAAAGCATCATCATCATCATCATCATCCAAAGCATCATCATCATCATCATCATCATCCAAAGCATCATCATCATCATCCAAAGCATCATCATCATCATCCAAAGCATCATCATCATCATCCAAAGCATCATCATCATCATCCAAAGCATCATCATCATCATCATTCAAAGCATCATCATCATCATCATTCAAAGCATCATCATCATCATCATCCAAAGCATCATCATCATCATCCAAAGCATCATCATCATCATCATCATCATCCAAAGCATCATCATCATCATCCAAAGCATCATCATCATCATCATCAATAACAGTTATAACAATAATGAACACTTTCTAATTATTCAATGAATTGCATTAACATAATATAAATATACTGTTTTTCATTATTCAATAATAATATCATATTTTGTTTTAATTCATTAATGTATATTAATTGTTATTTAAACAACATATTAGCCAAAACAAACAAAAACACGAAGAAGAAGAAGTGGGAAATGGATACCATTTAAATGATTCATTTATCGGTTAGATATTAAAACAATTAGATACAAATGAATAATTCTATTCATTTGTATCTAATGTGAAATGTGTTCATTTCATTGTATCTATTCATCACCATCATCCTCACTACCACCACCATCACCCCGCCCCCCCTACAATGTCGTCATCATAGTTACTAGACACATTAATAGTAGGTAGTAATGAATATAAGTAATCACAATCATAATAACAATATAATAGAGTTCTGATGTGTGGCTAATTTATATATATATATATATATATATATATATATATATATATATATATGCATTATCATTGAAAACTCGGAAGCATTAGACGACCGTTTCGTTCTAGTATGGGATTCGTCATTAGTGAGTATCCACGATCTCATATGTGGAACTTAAAAACAGGACCTTAGATCTCACGTGCAAACGCTTAGAATCTAGACCATTGAGCATGCATGTTGTGATGTTAATCTATAAATTCAATCAATCCATGATCTTGTACACTACGGAGGAGTCCTATATTAGAACGAAACAGCCGTCCAGTACTTCTAGGTTTTGAATGATGGTCTAGCCTAAATCGATTCATGAATTCAAATTAATAACATGTTGTAATCCTCTTAATGTTGAATAATTGAAGGTCATTTGCTTGTATTTACTTATTCAATCATGATGATGCGAGTTCTTCTATTATTATTATTATTATTTTAACACATAAGTATAGGTACAGGGAGGCACCAAATACATATGCGCCACACGAATCTCAATTGATTTGTGTGAGGGCTGTGATACTGCCCGGGTGCCCAAACCAAACCAGGTGATTTTCTTAGGGGGCCACACCCCGAGCCTTTGACCTAAATGTCTAACCCACAAGGCAGTGGAGCATCGTGAGGAGATGCAGTCCCATGGCAGCCGTTGACCAACGATTGGTTCATACGCCATTTGTTCCCGCAGGATACTGGAGCCCTTGTGCACCATTGGTTTGGGATCCGGTTATAGCGCCGGACATTCGCTTTTCGTCCTCTCATTTTCGTAAACAACATTAATGCCACGAGAAGGCAGTGAGTAGGACTTCCCTGGCAGAGGCTATATACGCGTGGCCGTGTGAGAGTATTTCGAGAGGGAGGGCGAACCCACCCCACTCTCGGCCGTACCAGGGCATTTGGGGGCGAGTTCTTCTATACTCATTACTGTATACTGATATAATATCATTTTGAATGAATATGAAAAGAAGTTTATGATTATGTGTAAAAGTATTTCGGCGAAACTATAATTTATGGACGAACCAATCAGATTTAAGGATTTCGGCGTGGAATTCATTCATTCATTTGGTTTAATAGAGTTTTGACATTATAGCTCATGTCAGGTGGTGATGAAAAATACCTCTAATACTAATTCTTAACCTCAACCATTAACTGTGAATTATAATCCATATTGTTCAAACTGCTTTATAACTTTCATTTAGCCCTAGTAAGTAGATTGACACTGTGAAGGTCACTTTATCGTCGCTCAAAGGTTGTCCATAAATTATAGTTTCATCAGTATTTCTTAAGATATATACGTTGCCAACAATGGCTAACAATGATTTGATACATATCTTTTATAGAGCATTTAGTTTATAAACGCTTTAAGGACTTAGAATGTTTTTCACTTATAATTGGATAGAACATGGTAACCTTTACAAATTCAATGAAAATGTCTCTAGTAAATTACTAAACCAGGACAAAATCAACTCCGGAAACGAAACCCGGGTCCAGGGTTTCCTGTCGACTACCTCCAACCACCATCTAATCTTACAATAGTGCCCAGCGGTGTCGAGTCACCTAGACTGGTGGCCACATTGCAACATGATCGATAGCATTCGATCTGCACTAATAATAAGGACTAGACACGCATGACATTTATCACCCAGTGATCAATCAATTGTGATTACATCTCAGTCCTACAGGACGTCGGTCGCGGCCCGGATAGCTCAGTGGTAACGTCTCTGACTGTGAAGCTGGGTGACACGGGAGCGAGTCCGCCAGGGAGCACCAGTTCCCTCAAAGACTACAGGTACACCTTGCTGACGAGTGCCAAGTAGCACGAAACTCGGGTCCAGGTTTTCCTGTCGACTACCTCCAACCACCATCTAACGAATGCTCAACCTTTAGATCCCTGAACCGGAATCCAACGGTGTTAATGTATAACTTCAATCAGTCCATGATGTTGCGTGACTATCTTCCATTGTTTTCAATAAAACTCAACAATCTCCATAACCCTATACTAGTAATTATAATGTGCTTATTAGTGACCAGCTTCGAGAAGGAATCCTCGGAGTTCCAATGAGAAGCCATGACCAGTGTAATTCGACCGTGTCGAATGTGAGACAATTATCCATCGAGTTTTAAAATTAATGTTACACACACGTCAACATAACTACTTATATACAGATCGAAAGACATAACAGCGAATAAAGATCAATCGGGCATAGCCTATAAAACGAATAGAATCAAAGTTTAGAATGTACTAGAATGAAAAAAATTCGACTCCCTCCTTGTCTAGTGAAAAAATTTGATATTCTATTTCTTACATATTTTTGGAGTCCTAGTGATAAGTCGCAATTATTAGCGTTCAAACTTGTTGAAGGCCAGATGAATATAACTGGTGACAAGCGATAGTAGTATCTCAGTATCATGAAGTGACTGTAAATTAACTCCACTTGGATCGATTTTAGGGTTATTGCCACGATAAAGAAAAAGGATCGGGTGAGGAGTGAACAGTCTCATTCAATGAAGATAACATCCATAAAAAGCGGTACTATGATAGATCTTAACACCAAGGTCCACATGGACAACACCGGGTATCAGTGCATCATATGAGGATATAATATGGGAGAAAAGGACGAAAGTAGTAAAAGACTGGCAAATTCATGTGATTTTAAAAACAAGGTTAGAGGTGGAACTATGTTTCACTACAAACGCATAGACAAATCTATTTGGGTTCCACTCGACCACACTTCAGTGAAACAAATTAATCACAACTGCATCAATTAAATTTTAGAAGGTTCATGTAGGACGCATGGACAAAAAGAATAATTGATGTAGCTTTAGATTATTGTTTGGTGATTGCCAAGATGAAACTGAAGTTTAATAAACACTAGCCACCTATAGAAACAGCATTACAAAGGTTTAATGCAGCCTTCTTTCAAGATAGAGGATAGATACAGATAACAGAGAACAAGTGAAATAAAATTAAAAAAGCACTATCTCTAACGTTCCAGGAGGTGCTGGGACTCAATAAGCACCAGCAAGCTTAACCAAGTAAGTAAGTAGTTGTTTATAGTTTTATTGATATTTAAACATAAAATATCATAAATGAATAGTTCATTGTAAGCTGGAATGTGAATTGTCTAGTACCGTTAAAAGTGTAAAGTAGTACCAATCAGATCAATTGTCCAATATTTATAGCCAGTTTTATATTTATTCAATCTTTAACACTGATCAGATTCTCTTAATCAAATTTACAATGTAGCCACTGAGATTTGAATTAGCGCTCACGCGCAAGACTGATAAACCCTGGGTCCGAATCTCGTGATGCGGAATCGTGGATGCGCATTGCTGAGGAGTCCCACAATGGGACGAAACGGCCGTCCAGTGCTTCCAGGTTTTCCATGATGGTCTAACATCCATTGACTCATGATCACAACCATTAAAATTTGAATGAGTAATTATTGATTGAGTTGGTGGTTGGTCAGTAAATTTTGAAAAAGATCTTAAATCTAGATTTCTTTCCGGTTAGTACTTGTAAATAAGGTGGATCTACTAGCTTAAGAAAAAGTCGAGTTTATACTATATAGACAGACAGATAGACAGATAGATAGATAGATAGATAGATAGATAGATAGATGTGTGGATAGATAGATAGATAGATAGATAGATAGATAGATAGATGTGTGGATAGATAGATAGATAGATAGATAGATAGATAGATAGATAGATGTGTGGATAGATAGATAGATAGATAGATGTGTGGATAGATAGATAGATAGATAGATAGATAGATAGATAGATAGATAGATAGATAGATAGATAGATAGATAGATAGATAGATGTGTGGATAGATAGATAGATAGATAGATGTGTGGATAGATAGATAGATAGATAGATAGATAGATAGATAGATAGATAGATAGATAGATAGATAGATAGATAGATAGATAGATAGATAGATAGATAGATAGATAGATAGAT